TCAATAATAACAACGAAACCAAACCAAGCCTTGGTTGGATTTTGTAGTTGATTAATAGTGGTAGGAGAATATCACAGATCACATGCGAAATGGTGGAATTTATACATCATACATACATTTTTAATAAATAAAATAGAAATTTTTGACTCAAAATAATCTTATTAAAATAGGCATTAAATTATTGAAATTATTTTAAGACAATATAACATTAAATATGTTATATCAAGACAATATAACATATTTCAGATCTGGTTGAATTTTAATAATCAAGATGAAATTGCTTTAGAAGCTATATCATTTTATTCTAGTTTATTTAATGAGAATTTTTTAGAGTTTGACTTTAAATGAAGATATTTTTCCTATTAATAATTAAGTTTCTGAAAATGATTTTGAATTTTTGAATCAAATCTTTTCTAATGAAGATATTAAAAATGATTTCTCTTCTATTTTTAAAGTGTCATGGCAAACAATCGGAGAAGATTATATCTAGGGCTGTCAAAACGGCTCGTTGTTCGCGAACAGCTCGTGTTCGGCTTATTAATTTCGTTCGATACATTAACGAGCCGAACACAAACTAAGATGTGTTTGTTCGTGTTCGCCTCGTTTTGGCTCGAAATACTACTCATCATATATATATATATATATATATATATAGTAGTATTTAAAAAAAATCTAATTAACTACAAGGCTACAAAGATTTATAATCAATTAAAATATTGATTAAGAAAATAGAATAAAAATTATTCAAATGATGTTTTAATATAAAATATAATTTTTAAGTTTTGCCCCAACCCCTAACATCTTATAGTTACGTGATTAGAGCTGTCAAAATGACTTTTTGTTCGTGATCAGCTCGTATTCAGCTCGTTAAGCAAACGAGCCGAACATGAACACATTTTTTGAGATCGAAATATAAACGAGCCGAACAGGAGCTGATATCAAGGTTGTTAAGTACTTTTTTTCTTAATTCCAGATTGCTTCATAAGATTAAACATATTGCTTTGGTTATTATTTCTAAAAGAACATATGTTAAAATCTTTTTTTCATATTATATACATTTATCTTTATGTAATATCATTTATAAAGTTATTGTTTTAATTTTAGCTAGTAGATTAGAAGATAATCTTCTTGGGATTATTCACGGGCTCAAGTTGCTTATGCTAATGGTGAAAAATATTGCTAATAATATTATTTTAGTAAATATGTTGATATGTGACTTTAACTCTTTTAATTCTTATAAATAATTTTGTGCTAAAGTGGATATTGTTAAAGCTTATGATAAAATTAATAGAAATTTTCTATTTAAAAGAATAAAAATCATTGTTTTTCTTCCTCCTTTTATTAATCAGATATATGGTTGTATGGTTGAATTTAATTTTTCTGTCATAATAAATAGTGAGTTAAAAGAACATTTTCCTACCTCGTCTGGTTTAAGACAGCGATGACTTCTTTCTCCTTCGCTTTTTGTTATTATTATGGATTCTCTCTCTATTACATTGGATAATAAGATGACTAAAGATGTTTTTAAGTTATATTATTTAATTTATGTTGATGACATTTTTCTTATTTGTTAAAGCTGACAATCTTTCCATTCGGTTCATAACCAAGACGTTTGAAAATTTTAGTAAAGCTATCAATCTTTATATTAATACTTCGAAATTTGATATTGGTTTCTCTATATCTGTTGATATTGCTACTCAAAATAATATTTCTTATGTGGTTTTCATATTAAGCTTTTTCCTTGAAAATATTTGGGTATTAATATTAAACCTTCAAAGCTCATCATTACTGACTGTCATGGGCTCATTGATAAAATACATGGTTGGTTGACATGTTGGAAGCAAAAAAGTTTTTTCTTTTGGTTGTAAGCACCGATTAATAAAATTTATGATATGGAGTTATTTATATTTCTGGTTTTGTTCGACAGTTTTACCTAAAGGCTTGAAAAAGAAAATTTTCTCTATGATATCTAATTTTCTTCATAATAATGAAGCTGGTAAAAAACTTCATCTCATAGCTTGGGATAATATTACTATGCCTAAACATTGTGGAGGGCTTGGAGTGCCATCTTTAGATAACATAAATTCTATGTGTAAGTCCAAAATCATTAGAAAATTTTACAATTCAAATTCTCTTTTTTTCTAATTGGTGTTTTAATTATTATGTTTCAATTTGGAATCATTCTCATTCTAAAGTCTCTCCTTTTTGGAAATATTTACAATAGGTGGCTAAAAGAATAAGGTCTTCTTTAACTTTTAAAGTTATTCCAAATTGTAAACTTCTATTCTTTTATGATCTATGATTTGGAGATTTATCTTAAAGGAAAATTTTGAAGATATTATATATGATTTGTTTAAGCTTCCTAATAATGCGAAAATTTGTGAGGTCCTTAGAAATAAATGTTGGAATATGGAATATTTTTTAAATACTCTTGAAGCTTTAATTAAGGATATTGGTAATATATATATGTTGGATGGCTATCCTTGTCTTTGGAATAATGTTAAAGTTTATCATCATAAATTTATTTATTACTAATTATATGATTTTTTCGTAAAGTGGATTGGTATAAGTTTATTTGGTTTAAAAGTTAAGCTATCAAATAAGCTTTTATTACTCAGAAGATTATTCATAAAGGTTTAAAAACTTGTGATATTATTACTTATAGAGGGATGAATATTAATAATATTTGTGCTCTTTGTTCTATTGAAAGAGAAAATTATTGTCATCCCTTTTTCGAATGTCAATTTTTTCATTATATTATTAAAAATTGTGTTGATAATGAGAATTTCTTTATCGCCCATTCTATTTTTTTTCAAGTTCTTTATCACTCTAAAAAATATTCAGTGTAAGATTCAGAGAAGATTTTATATCTTATCTTTGCATATCAATGTTTATTACATTTGGATGGAATTAAATTCTAGAATATTTAGCAATAAAACTTTTTCTTAGATTTGATTATTCAAAATATTCATTGAATGATTTTCTTTAAAAGTAGAAATTTAAAATTTAAGTGTAAAATGCCAAATTATATTAATAATTTTTATGGATTTGATTTTGATTAATAGGCTTTTGGACTCTATGTTTGCTTTAGGTTGCTCTGGTCCTTTTGATTTTTCTATAATTCTTAGTTTTATTTATATTTGTTGGAATCGGATATTGCTATATTGATCTATATTCTTTATTAAAATTCAACCAAATTGTGTATGTGTTACGTATATTTTTAATATTTGATGGAATTTTAATAATTCAATATAGGTTATTAGTGGGTTTTAATTGGCGGTTATTTTGTATTTGTTGGTTTCTTTTTTCTAATTTGACTGTTTGCTTTTGGTCTTTAACTGGCTGTTGTTGTTCTCTCTATTTTAGGTTTGTAGAGAGTCCTCTTTCTGGCTGGTTGAATCGGTGTAATTTTTATTTTGTTGTTGGCTTCTATCTAGTCATTACTTTCATGTGATTTGTTCTTTTATTTCGTAGTGCTTTTTTGTTTTGTTGTAATTGTTGTTTTCTATTGTTCATTTGTAATTTTACTCTGATTTGTGGTTGTTGCTTTTTAATATTTGGATCAACATCTTTGTTGTCTACTTTTAGTTTCTCTCGTGTGTTTTTCTTTTTTGATTACACTTCTTTTTTATTCTTATATATTGGCTTGAGATAGGTTTGAGCTATGATTTTTTCCAACCATTTGTGGCTGATTTGAGTTTGTCCCACCTCAGTGCCCAACTCCAAACCGACATCCAAGCAAAGATTAACATGCACACCAGTCAATTCATTTGCATTTACATATCTCACAACTAAACATTAGTGTTTACTTGTCACCTTACATTTTAAAAATCAAAACAGTGATAATTTTGATTGTATATGAAAGAGTTGGGCTGCATAAATATAATAATTAAAGTTTAGTGTTAGATATGTAAATACATAGGAATTGAGTTGTATGTATATAAATGCTTTTTTTTTTAAATTTAACTATCAATTTTCTTTCATATATTTATAAGAAAATGAATAAATCTAGGAAGATTTAAACTTATGCACTAAAATGTGCGTTTCACTTCGAAAATATTAGTAAAAATGAGCCTTTTTTGTAATATTAAAGATTCGAGTGATATGCATGCAAATATGAAAATTTGGGCTAGATATGCAAAAAAATAAGAATTGTATGGTCTATATGTAAATGCCCCCATAAATTTAAGGTAACACTGCTCAATTTGACTCCTTCAGGCCTTCATCTCACTGCTAACCATAACTAGTTGTAAACCCAAGTACTATGAGAAAAATGCTATTGTATATTCATAGCTACTATGGGGGGAAGAAAAACAGACCTTAGAAAAGCAGATAAAATCAACAAGATAAGTAATTTGATCAAAAGCAAACAACTGAGCATAAGCTTGAACAAATAAAAGCTCAACAAACAATATCTAAAAGGTAATAAATGCAAATACAGAATAAAGTTGAAAGGTCCAAGTGCCTAGTATCAGAACATAAAGGATTCGTTTGTAATTAGATCCTTGGAAATGAATTTATTTCAAATATAGTCGTCTTAGATGGTTTGGTCACATTAAACATCGACAATTTGATGATCTGATTAGGAGAATAGATGTTTTATATTCGACTTATGTTAAGTAAGGCAGAGGTAGACCTAGAAAAACTTGGGTATATTGTATAAAAAATGATCTTAATTTATTAGAATTAATTGAAAATATGACACTCAATAGGACACAATGGAGAAAAAGGAATTAGTGGGATGAAGGTATGTTGTTGTATATACTTTCTATAAGTAAAATTTTACAAGATTTAAATTCCATAGAAGAAGAAAGATATTGAAATTATGAAGTCAGAATAAAATATGTAGACTAGAGAAGGAAAAAGCAATGAAAAAAAGAAATAATCTCGAGGAAACTCAACAAGTTAACTAAGGTAGCAAATATGGAACAGATCTAAGATAGAAAGCAGCAGAAATAACCAGCCAAGCTAATCATTCTTCACCTCAAACAAAAACCTCAGAGGAAATGCTCCACCATTGTTGTTGGAGCCACCAATTCCATAAAAAAGGGGTTTCTTTTGCTCCCTGAGCCATATATTACAGCTATATCCTTCCATATACAAGAAAACAGGTTTTTACATCCAAGCCATGCCAATTCTAAGGAAAACTGCAAGCTCTCATGTTAAGCAGATGATAAGAGAAGAGAGTAAAAAAAGCACCCTTATGCCAAAGCAAAAATAGGAAGAATTCCACTGGTTGTAGCATGTACCCACTTAACTGTAAGAATTTCAAGAGAAAGGAAGAAAATGATCTATCTATGTTGATTATGCTCCTTTACATGGATTCAGGTGCTAGCCATGGAAGCCAGAAGCTGGGAAGTTGGAAAGGCTCTCTTCGTCAGCCACAGCACTGTTCTCAACTAGAGAGCTGTTTGATTTTGTTTTCTGCTTCCATGGGTGGTGGTAAAGGAGCTCTGCATCGGGAAAAGAAGTGCTGCATCGCACATCGAGGAGCAAGTTTTGATCAGAGCCATCATCAGTGAATTGCAGCATCGAGCTCCGATCAGGTGGTGAAGCGAAGAGACTTCTTGGACTGAAGCAAGACCCTTCATTGTCCAGGAAGTCTTCAGTATCAACTATTTCTGTTGATCCTGCCTCATTAGGATTCAGTACTGATGATTTTGTTAAGGAAAATTTGGTGTTGCTGGATCTGCACGCTCTTTTGGGGCTCCTCATAGAGCCCTTGGACTCTGAAGTGTATATAAAAATTTTCTTTTAATGAAAAAATATATCATATTGATAGAAGTTGAAAAGATATAATGAACTAAGAGCTTGATGCAAGTAAGATGCATGGATGAGAAAAAGAAATGAGAAACAGAGCATTAATCAAAACCTGGATTAGATCTTGAACAATCTAAACATAGCATCGCTATCAAGATGCTGGTGCTATGAGGTTTTAATTTTCCTGATAAAATGGTACTGAAATAGTAACTAAACGGAATCAATTAAGATTTTTCCAACAAATTCTTGTTCCCGTTAACTAATATTCTTCATTGTAACTACACCATGGCCAATGTTTAAAATTATGTAATTGGGTATTAAGACGTTTTTCGTTCATGAGACGAGGCGTAAGCCTCAATGTAGTCTAGGGCATAAGTCTCACAATTAGAAAATTGTGTAGTCAAAATAAAAGGATAAGAAAATATATACTAATATCATTACTTATAAATATATGAAAGAAAAACATATTAACAACCTAACATGAAAAAATTGACAAATTGTGTTTATTTGCAATAGTAGCAATTTGCACAAAGCAAAAAATATAATGTAGACGTCAGATAATCAAACTAACATAAAATAAAATAAAAATTGCCCAAAATATCAAAATAAGACATGAGATAAGTTTAGCATAGTATATTTCTCACTTTTATTTTCTAATATAATAACATTCATAAATCTTAAGAAAAAAAGATAAAAATAAGCGAAAGCTCTCAACACCCATCACTTAGGGAGTCTTCATTGGAATCACCATCATGATGTTTAGCTTTATGTCATCTCTTCTGTAAATATGTTTAGTTCTCTCATTCTCCTTCTTCTTCTTCTTATTCTTCTTCAACCTCAACCATCTTTTTTTCATATTCAATAATAAAAGATATTAAATAAATAAATAAATAAAAATTAATACTAAAGATATAGTCGGATACTTAAATTTTTATAAATATTTTTTATTTTTATCTCATGTTATTTAGTGTTGGATATGTTATCATTATTCATATCTCTACAAAAAAATAAAACAACAACGTTCAAATTTTCTTACTGCAACTCATATGTGTGATCTGAGTGACGACATCATCCTCAGTTACAAAGCACTCGTTATATGAGGACAACTTCATCGTAGAGGATTCTCGTCATTCTTCAAACCACTTTTTTTTAACTTTTATCATTCAATCTCTCGTTGTACGTGATAGACACAGGAATTCGTCATTTGTCAAAAAGTTCCTATTTATTATGTGAACTTGATTATAGGTGCTCCAATTGCGCTCATATCTAGGGATGAGCATGTAAATCCTACAATTTTAATAGCAAAATGTTGTAGCTCTGGAGTTTCATTACTAAACAAGATCTACCATTCAACTATATTTGAAAAAAATTTGAGTAATTAGAAATTAAAAAATTAATGTTTCGATACTTGATCTTTATTTCAATAAACATATTATATATTATAAAATGTACTTCGACAACATTTTACAACAATATATTTTGCTTGTTGTAGCCCCAAAAAAAAATTCATATTCTTTCTAAATAGAACAAGTTGTATAACAACAATTACCCTGCCATTTAGGTTAACAATCAATATTCCCATACAATAATATAGTCCTGCCCCGATCTCAGGATTGGCGAACTTGTTAACTGCAAAATGAAATTGAGACTTGAGGAAATATCCAACATGCAAATGACAGTGGAGTTGAAGCTCCCATTATTATTGATGATATCCCAAATCTCTCAATACTTGGCATCTTCTCCTAGGTTATGAACTGTTAATTCTTTGGCCTCATCTATTGTGTTATAAATAAAACTCATAGATGATTTTTCTCTGCATCCTCCATCCTTAATACTCGTCATTCTTCAACCTCAACCATCCTCAACCATCTGTAAATTAGGCCTAATGGCTGTTACTACATATGAGACAGTAAAGCCAAATCTTTCATTTTAAATAATTTTTTCCGACTTTTTTCTGTTAGTAATAAAGTAAGCATTGCCTCCAATAATTGTCTAGCTTCCAAAATACTCCGTAGAGTCAAAAAGACTAGTTGCAGCAGATGAATGAGTTATTTTTAAGAAAATTTTCTCATCAAAGAAAATACTCAAGGATGATTGTAAAAGAATTTATTAATCTTCTTAACTTTCATCAGGGTATTTTTATGCTGGGGTAATTCACAATTGTCTCTAATATCAAGTCTATGCAATGTGCAGCACAAGTTGTCAAGTAAAGATACTTTTTTTTCTATGTTAATTTATTTACAATTGTCCTATAAACACGTGTATTATCTCTCACAAATTGGGCTATCAAATACAACTTCAATCTCTTCTATCCCTTCATCAAACACTTCATAAATGTACTATGCATCATTCACTGATCAGATGCTTCTACAAATTTTTAAAAATAGTGTTACATGAATTATGTATTAGAATCTTAATCAAGCTACTGTTTTTTTATGTTTAACCATCCATCACACATGATTCTTATTCCAATCTGATTCCAAGTCCTCCTAATCTCTTACATGACTCAAATTATCATCCACATTTATCATATATTAATTTAAGGGACCTTTTGTACCTCTAATAGACATTGACACAGCACTCACCCATAGTAATAGCAGACGTCAGCAATATCATCAAACAGTTGTTGTGCACAATGTTTTGACATCTTCGACCTCTTCATGTTAGATTGTATCTAATCTTTGGCTACTTCAAGCACTTAAACACACTGCAATATTTTTATGCTAGTAGGAGAAGTGTTTATTCATTCTTGTAACACCTTTAACTACCTTCACACATTAATTGCATTTAAATAAACATAAGTTTTATTGTTGCCTCTAAATGTAGACTTGAACACTGCCTTAACGTCAGATCTTTTTGATTGCCCAATGTGAAATCCTCCATGTTCTAATCATTTCTCACAAAATTTAAAACCCTAAAATTAAAATTGTCTCATAATTCAACCAAATTGAAACACAAACAAATTTTTGAATAAAATAAAAATACAGAATTTAGATTTGTAGAAGACTTCTGAACTTTATGAACTTTGTAAAAGACTACTTAAGGAGGTGTTGGAGCGATGACAACTATAATGGAAATAGCAGGCAGCAACCGCAGTGTGGGGGCAGCAGGAAGAGCAGGCAATGGCGATGGTAGGTGTAGGTGCAGGTGCACTAGGTGGCAGCGTCAGGAGCAATAAAAGAAGCAGTCCGCGAGGGCAGCAGCAGTGCAGTACAGTGAGGTGTTGGGTGCAACAAGAGGAGCAAGCAGTTGTGACTGCGATGGTAGAAAGTGCAGAAGGCAGATAGAGCAGCCATAGATGATGCAGCCAACCAAGGGCAACCGGGGGAGCAGGTGGTGGGGTAGTAGGTCCAGCAGGCCAGCTACAGCAGAACCAGGGACAGCAGGGGGAGCGGTTACCAGTGGCATCAGCCGATTCAAGAGAAAAGTTTGGAGCGAAGATCTGCAAGCTCTGTGCTTATAAAAAATTAATATGAGTGTGTATCTCTGCATAATTTTAGTTTTTCATAGTGAATTTTTGATAGTGTGGCTCCATAGCTTTTTTCCATTCTCAAGTTATTCAACATAAATCTTGATGTGTGTTTTTGATATTGTTTTGTTGTGCTTCTGTTCGAATTTTTTTTATTTTGAATTTCTCAAATTGATATGGTCCTATTCCGCATTGTGGTTTTAATTTCTAATTGTTCGAAGCCCAAGATTTATCTTTCCATTCCAGCAAGCGGTATCAAAGCTAAGTTTCTTTGATTCAAGTGGGAGCAAAAACCAACAAAACAAGGTATAAAATAGAAAATTTCAATGGGTTGAATTTGTGCTCTGGATGATGCAAGTAGAGGATTTATTGTATCAGAAAAAACTGCAGTTGTCACTACAAGGAGTCACCTAAAAGCTGGAGTCTATGCATGGAGGGATGGGAGGTGTTGGATCGAATAGTCCAACATTTGATCTGTCTTTCATTTTTTATGATGTTGTATTTAATATAGTGAATAAAAAAATCATGGTGGATCTTGTAGCTGCATTGATAAGAATGTATGAAAAATCTCATATTACAAATAAAATTTTTCTAATGAAGAGGTTATTCAACATGATTTCTGAAAACAGTTTTGTGTTAACACTTGAACAATTTCAATACCGTAACGAGTCAGTTGTGCTTTTTGGGATCAAATTTGATAATAAAGTCGGGGCATTATTAATTCTATCTTCATTGTCAGACAGTTGGAATCTATTAGAGATGGGAATATGAAATTGAACTTCGATGGCATTGTGGGGTTGGTGCTAAATGAAAAAGTTCACAGAAAGGCAGTGAATGATGAATCTTCAGGTGCTACATTGAATGCAGAAAACATACGAATGAATTTGGACAGGAATACAGACAAAGACAAATTCAAGTCCAGAAGAGGAAAGTCCAGATTAAGCGAAAGAAATGATAGAGAAAAATGTTAGAGCTGAGGAAAGAAAAAACATCTTAAGAATAACTATAATGCTCCAAAGAAAGGTGCTGGTGAAGAACGGGAAAGAAACCCCTCCACGAATGCTTTCCGCAATCAAAATCTAAGGTGACTCCCTAGTTTTATCCCTAATCAACACTGAATCTTAGATATTAGATTCAGATGTCTCTTTTCATGCATGACATAAAAAAGAGGTATTCCAAAATTACAATCAAAATGATCTAGGGAATGTCTATTTGGCAGACAATAAGGCTGTAATATTGTGGGAAAGGGTGAAGTGGATATTAAATTGTCAAATATAATAGTCTAGAAGCTTATTGAAGTTAGACGTACTCCAAGTCTGAAGAAAATCTCATTTTTGTGAGCCAGCTAGCAAAATCAAGGTACGTGATTATTTTCACATGTGACACATGGAAGGTGACCGAAGGGAAATAGTGGTAGCTTGGGGAATATTGAAGACACTCTTTACCTGATCAATGAGACGATAAATTCATTGATGTGGATAGAACAAAGGTTGATGCAGGTATATGGTATCGTCAGCTTGGCTATATGAGAAAGAAAGGTATTGAGTCTTCAATTTCTAAAAATAAGCTTTAGAGTTAGAAATCAGTAAATCTGGATTTCTGTGAATATTGTATATATAGCAAGCATAAAGAAATTTATTTCTCTAAAAGTGGGTCAATAGTGAAGTTAAAGAAGCCGTAGTTAATGCATTCTAATGTATAGAGCCCTACTCCAATTTAGTTCATCAAAGGTTCTTATTACTTCGTCACATTTATTGGGAATCATACTAGAAAGAAAAGGGTTTATTTCTTAATAAAAAACCTGACATGTTTGAAGTGTTTAAGAAGTGAAAGGTCATGGTAAAAATGAACAGGTTTAAAACTGCAGTGTCTCAGATCAGACAATAGGGTTGAAGTCACTGTCTCAGGAACTCCACATACATGATTTTCTATGATTGTTACAACAAAGATAAATAAAAAATAAAAATAAAATAAAAATAAAAATAATAGAATATAGTTGAAAACATGAATAGAAAAATCATGGAGTGTGTCAGAAACATGAAGCTGCACGCAGACTTACCAAAACAGTTATGGGCTAAAGCACTGAATTTTGTTGTTTATCTGATTAATCAAGGTCCATCAGTACATTTGAACAAAGGCTTACGTGAAGAAGCCTGGAGTGACAATGTGATAAATATATCTTATCAAAAAGTATTTAGGTATTCTGCATATGTTTACATTAATGCACAAATCAGGAGTAAGCTTGATTCGAAATTTGTTAAGAGCACTTTCATTGGATATGACTCAGATTAGTTTGGATATAAATTTTGGACTTATCAGAATCCAAAATTCATCAAGGGCAAGGATGTTATATTCAATGACAGGGAGATGTAGAAAGACAGAAGCATAACTAGTAATTTTCAATAAGTTACTTCTAAAGAGTCTGAATATGTTGAGATAAAAGACACTAGTGATTAGGGGGCTAAATAAAGAAAAAATGTTTAACTAGATGGAGCACAAAAAGTTCCTCAATCACATGAATATTTTTTTTCTTTATAGTATTTATTGAAAATTGATAGTGATGAACTATAGTGCATTGAGGATTTCACTCAAATTGAAGATTCAAGAAAGTAGAAGCTTGTCGTGAATGATCAAATATAGTTTTTGGAGTTAATATGAACCTTGATTTGGTGATATTACCATATGATAAAAAAAAAAAACTACACAGCAAGTGAGTCTACAGGCTGAAAGAAGAATCAGATGGTAACAAGCGCTACAAGATAAGACTTGTTGTAAAAGAGTTTCAGCAAAAGAAATGAGCGGACTACACAAAGATTTTTTCTCTTGTGGTGAAGATGACAACCATGAGAGTTTTGTTGAGCTTGGTAATAGAGAAAGATCTACAACTGGAGCAGATGCATGTAAAAACAATTTTCTTACATAGAAATCTGAATGAGGAATTATACATAGTGCAACTGCACGGTTGTGAGGTTTCAAAAAAAGAAGGTTTGGCCTGCAAGTTGAAAAAGAGTCCCTATGGCTTGAAGCATGCCTCGAAACAGTGTTACAGAATGTTTGATTGGCTTATGTCAAACAGTGGATACATAAAGTGTCAGGCAAACCATTGTTGTTTCATCAAAAACTTTGATAATTTTTAAATCTTGCTTCTTTTGGATATGAATGAAATGTTAATTTCATGGGCAGATATGGAAAAAATCAATGACATAAAGAAGCAATTATCAAGTGAGTTTGAGATGAACGATTCAGGTCCAACTAAAACGATCCTCGTGATGAGAAACAACAGGGATAGAAATGGTGCATTGAAGTTGTTTCGGGCGGAGTATATTGAAAAAATCCTACTAAAGTTCAAGACAAAGCTAGTTTGCAACTCCTTAAGTGATCACTTCAAACTATCTAAGGAACTATCGTCTAAGTTTGAAGCAAAATAAGTATAAATTGGGAGAACTCCGTATGATTCAATAGTCAGGAATCTGTTGTATGCTATGATTTGTACAAGACTAGATATTGGAGATGCCATGAGAGTAGTCAATAGATACATCAAGACAGGCATCATTAAGAGGCAATGAAGTGGATTTTGAGGTATTTGAGGGAAATAATCAACAGAGCATTTTATTATTGAAGTGCAAAGATTAGTCTACAAGCATTTATAGATTTAGATATGGAAGAGATTTGTATAGTAGTAGTACAACAGAGTATATCTTCACTTTGGAGAACGAAGCGGTGAGTTGGGTTTTCAGACTGTGGAAGACTGCTGCACATTCAACTACGAAAACCGAATACATTACTATCACTGAGGCTAGCAAGAAGATGATTTGGCTACATGGCATAATGCCAGAATTGGTTAAGAAACAATGGATTAGAAAGCTTAATAGGGACAATATGAGTGCAATTCGTCTTGGCAAGAACGATGTTTTTCATGTCAGGATAAAACACATTAAGCTAAAAGGCCACTTTATATGCTCTACTAAAAGATGAGCAATTGTTCTTGGAAAAAATACACAACTCATAATCCTGCAAATATGCTGACTAAGATAATAACTATCAAAAATTGGAGCTATGTTTGGCTTCAATTGGAGTCTAGGAAGATTAAGATCGGAGTTGAGGCACACCACTGTACAGGATTATGAAAACAGTACAGATGGAGGTGCAAATCAATCTCCAAGTGAGAATTTGTTGTGTATGGAGCAGGATTGACAGTAACTGGATGCATCCAAAAGCAGGTATTTTGGTGTGGCACACCCGCGCCTGGAGGGCGCCCCCATTGGTGGAGACACAGGGTGCAGTGCCCCCATGCCCATACGGAACGTGGGGCGCTTGGGTTTGTGGCGTCCCGGCACAATTTTCAGGGCGCCTTACATCGAGTTCAAGAGAATGCGACACTCCCTTGCTCGTGAGTGGCGCGGACATGCCTGGGAAATTCTTGCTTCTAATTCAGTTCTTAAGTCTTTGATTCAAGTGACGAAAGAAATACTCTCACGTGTGATATTTCTTGACTGGTTATCTCGTGAAAGTGAATTGTCGAGAGGGTGATCTCGAAGTGAGAGTAATCGCTTGTGAGATCGATAAAAAGGTTTAGAGCAAAGATCTATGAGTTATGTGCTCGTAGAGAGTTGATCTGAGTATTTCTCTATACAATTTTGGTTCTTCATGGTGAATATTTTTGGTAGTGTGACTATGATTTTTCCCATTCTAGAGCTTTTCCGCATAAATCTTGGTGTGCTTTTCTATAATTCTTTTGTTGTGCTTCTGTTTGAATTTCTTTTATTCCAGATTTCTCGAATTGGCGTGATCCTATTCTGCATTATGGTTTTGATTTCTAATTAATCGAAGCCCAAGATTTAGCATTCCATCTCAGCATAGAATTGAGGCGTATGCAACACATAGATCACATGAGATGTAGTTTCAAAGCAAAAATTCATGGTTATGCAATTTTAAACAAAAATTTCTAGGCATTGTTTTTCAAAGATTAATGAGTTCCATCTCTAAACTAGATGTCCAAACTTCGAATCCTTGCAAGAAAATGAGAATGAAAATACAAAACTCTTCATAATCATCAAATGCCATGGATTTCCTGTTATGCATTATCCATTTCAATGATATTAATCACTACCTAGACATCCTATCCACGTCCAATAAAGGGATGTAACCAGACTTGCAAAAAAATGTGCCTTAAGATTTTTTGATAAGATTTTGTCCTATCTAATATAACAGCAATTCTCAGAGATGATCTTTACGGTAATTTTCCTGGAAAAACATTAAATCTAATATCATAAACGGGTTGCAGAAAATTTTGCAAAATCTGAGAGTTGTTCAGATAAACAACCTTGCAATTGCTGGTTTTGGATTTCTTGAGACCTCTTTACGGGTATTATATAGGACTGTCGAAGAAAGTTTGTCCCAACTCCTTTTTTTACTCCCCTGGCGTGCTTCTGCTTAATATCCTAATGCAAAACAATTTGAAGTGCTTAATGAGGCGCTTTTCCTTTAAGGACATAAAAGATCAAAAGGTTTTTTTTTCTAGTAACTATTTGATACCTTCAACTCTTCATAGCGCTGCACCCAGCTAGATTTAGTAAAATTACATAAAACCAGCCTCTTCAAACTCCTGCATTCTTCGACATTTATTTGTGAAGAGGAGAGATCGAAAATTCCGTCTTGGAGAAGTTGCTGAAAATAAGAAAAGTTTTCCAAGAACTTGGGACTAGAAAACAAGCATCTGAGGCTGCAAATGTCAAAAGTAATTATTAGTGGAGTTTCTGAGAAGGGGCACTTAGATACATATAACCCAATTCCCATATATTTACATATCTAACACCTAAACTTTGTTTTTTACATTAATAGCACCCAAATCCTTCATATCAAAACAAACATATTATTAATATATCATTATTTAAACATTTAAAGAGTGAAATACACATTTTTATGCATAAATAAGGTGGCATACATGTAAAAAGTGAAGTTTAGGAGTTAAATATGTAACAACATAGGAATTAAATGGTATGTATGTAAATCTTTCTTCTAAGAATTATTGATTAACAACCTCAAAGGGTTTAAGGAAGACAAACCTCTCAGTAGCTTTCGCAGTATCAATAGAAGGAAGATATTTCATCAGTTGTTGTTGTTCCTCCTTTGTCATATGTTCCATGAAAACCTCATGATTAATAATGTCCTATTATGATAGATGTAAAATGTGAGATATCACAGAGATTATAAGCAAGGATAAACTAAAACAACCTTGCTGTAGAGTTAATCAAGCACCACATAATTTTAAGCTTACTTTAAGATCAGTAAATATAAGAGCTGAATCTCTATTCCGCAGTATGTCAAGGTTCTCCAGTGAAAACTTGTCTCTGCAAATATGGATTTGACTTAACAATGAATATCCTTCAGCTATGATGGGATACCGGAGCAGATATTATTTTCACCAATAACTGAATTATAAATAATATCTATGAAATTATTTTTTTGAAAGAATAATAAGGAAGAGACAAACCACAAACGCATATCAAGAGATACTCATATTTATGTAGAAAAACATGGATAGGAAAACAATGGACAGAATGTGTGAGTGACTGCGCGTCAAAGGTGAGCTCCAATTCCATCCCAAATTCCCAAAAAAATTTCCCATAATTTAGGTTGCACAGCAGACGTTGCACCGTAAATTTTTCAAACAAAGCCCAACAAAATTCGGGTTAAAAACTCTTAATAATTTATAAAAATAAGGAGAAAAGTGTTAAAATGGTCTCCAACTCTTTTTAGAAGTTCATTTTAATCCCAAAGTCTATAAATTGTTAATTTAATCCCCAAACATTTTTAATGGGAACTAAAATAGCCCTCAATATTAAAGAGTGGAGATTAATTTGACATTTTTATAAACTCTGGGACTAAAATGCCCCCATGTGAATAGTTAAATGACCATTTTAACACTTTACTAAAAAAAATTAAGTATCAAACTAATTCAACATGAAGCAAGGACAGAATATATCAACAAAAGCAAACCTTTGAGCATGCTCTTGTGCCGTATGTACTGTAGACTTCTTAAATTTCTCTATGCTAGGATTGGGCAAACTAATTCTTTTGCTTTCATTATCTAAAAAACTGGGCGAAGATCTAGAATTGGGCACACCAATTAACTTTTTATCAACAGGAAGCGAGCTTGCCTCAGATTCCTCCTCGACAGGTTTTGAACTCGGATACCTAAGAAGAACACCTCCATGTCCTATCTCCACTGAGCCCATCGGAGTTTCACCTTCAAAAAGTAATTCTTCTTCTGAGGATCCGGATAGGTTAGATGACTGTTGTTCATGCCAGATAGAATAGAGGTCCTTAGTGAGCTTCTCAACAGAAGGTTTTAAGTTGATAACAGTTCTCCTTTTTGATGGAACTGGCACTAGTGAATCCCAGGCATTGGACTGTGCAGAACCTGAAAAAGATTAATATATTGGGGAAATCATTCCTATTCATGATGCTCAAGGCATGAAAAAACCATAGAAGGCATTTTGGTATAATTTTTGCACAATAAAAAAAAAGCATTTACATTCATACCACTCAATTCTTCTTATGCATTCACATATCTAACACCTAAACTTTGCTTTTCATTTTTATACCACCCAAATTTTTCATATCACATCAAAAATACCACCATTACCACATAAAAAAAAAAGTAAAATACATCTTTTCATGAGTAGGTAAGGTAGCATGTATGTAAAAATTGAAGTTTGGGTGTTAGATATGTAAATACATAAGGATTGAGTGGCATATATGAAAATCTTCCAAAAAAAAATCTATAATACTAAATAGCATAATAATAAAAGAAACAACAGATATCATAATTACAAGGAGAATTAGCTGCAAATATTAATATTTCATCATGCATAATAATATTTAATTTTTGATGATCCGATTAGGAGAGTAGATGTTTTAGATTCAACTTATATTAAGAAAGGCAGAGGTAGACCTAGAAAGACTTGAGCTTATTGTATAAAAAATGATCTTAATTTATCAGAACTAAATAAAAATATGGCACTAAATAGGACGCAGTGGAGAAAAAGGATTCATGTAGCCGACCCCACGTAGTGGGATTAAGGCTTTCTTATCGTTGTTGTATGAGTAAGAATATTTAATTAAAATGAAGATAGATCCAAGAGATGTAAGAATGAGCAAGGTATACAAAATAATTCGCCTCAAAAAAAAAATGAGCTTATTTGATGAAGTATATTCACAATTAAGAGCTAATTTTATATTTACAAAGCTAACTGATGAAGGTAGAATGGAAAAAGCATAATCTTTTAAAAGAACTCTTAAATGATCTAATGCTTTTAATCAAATTTCAAATGTTTCAGATGTACCGTCATGTCAACTATTTGCATATAAAATGAAGAATCATCTCTTTTCTAATTTGAATAGATACTTGAAGAGTTTAAAAACTCTATTTTGGTACACTAGCTCTCAAATAGGTTGACCTGTAAGAAAGCAATAAAATTCAAAGACCACCTAAAATGTTGAAATTTTGTAACTCAACCAAAGAATTGATAATCAAGAAGGAATTATGAAAGAAAAAAATAAGAATTTAGGTAACAATAAAAAGTTAATTTTGATTTTGTGATATTTGAGCTATCTAACAAACTTGCAAAGGAAAGAAGGAAAGAAAAGAAATAACTAGTGTCAAGCATATGCCATTCCCTGGCTTCACAGCAGCTGCACCAAACATAATGCATTGGAAAGAATAATAATGAATTAGAAACAAATATAAACAAGCAAATCAAATATGGTTCCTCTAGCTGATACAATAAATCATTAAGGGGCCATTTGGGATCACTTTCGAATTTTGTTTATGTTTTTTATTTTTATTTTATTTTGTTTATGTTTTGATTTAAAATAAAAAATGTTTGGAATGATATAATAATTTTAGTCATTTTAAAAAAACATAAAACCACTTTTTGATGTTTTGAATGTTCTTGAAAACAAGCTAATATGTTTTAAAAATAAAAATAAAAACATGCAAAAAATACACTAGAAAAAGCATATTTTTAAATTAAAAATAAAAATAAAAAACAAAATTTCTATCAAACAAGCCATAAATTTACAAGAATACAATCACTTCGCTAGCTGGTGGATATGCCAACATGTCCCATGTTCAAGTTAAAACACCGGTCATGTCTAGTAACTTGCTAAAAATACTCGTCCATGAAATCCAAATAAAAACAAAATTAAACTTCTATCAAGCCCCTTCCAATCTCTTCCAAGTTCTTCGCCAAACATCAAAAAAATGCATTTTTCTATCAAAAGTTAGCACCTTCAAGTCATAACCACTAAGTCAACAATAGTCCGTGCCAGAATTTAATTGTAAGACTGATATGAAACAAATCATTGATAATGAATTTAGGCAATCCAGCCTAAACAAGTCTTCCGTAGTTCCTCTACATAAAAATACATGTAAGATAGGAGAAGAATTAAGATGAAGAATGAAAAAAAAAAAGGAATCCTCAAGATCTTATCATATATTCCATAGTTTCTTCTTCCTCATTCTCATAATTATTATTTTCTAATTTGCACAATAAATCGGTAAATAGGATTATATAAGTTCAAGCAAAATGATGCATGTTTTATCCATAAGGCTAGTTAAACTACCTTATTAGAAATTTAAACAGTATACAGTCCAAAAAATAAGAAAAAAAAATGAAACAAGAAATATAATAGGATGTTCATAAAGACTTCATCGGCCATTCATAGACCAGAACAAGGGTAAACCTGTGCAATCGCTTGCATCAACGGCACCAAAATTTGCACAGCTTTCTGAGTATGAGATTGCAGATCCAGAACTAGATCGATTGCTAGCGTCCCCTTCGAAATTTCTAATGTAATTTTGGTCTGATTCTGAAAAAGGTATTTCACGTAAATTTTCCACTATACCCTTCACATGCTTTCTTTTTTGCAGTTTCTGTTCTGTGGTTTTAAAAGAAATACTTTTCATTTTAGTAACCTTGGGTTCTTCCCATTCAATCGGTTCACGAGCATGCAAAGGAGTGTAGTTTGCCAAAGAACCCTTAGTTCTCCATCGTGAGCCGCATGCATTACATAAAACCGGCTTTTCTGGCGGTCCATTTCGCCAAAGAGGAGTGCCTGTTGCACCAATCACATTTAAAAACTAAAAATAAATGTGGCGCTTCGAAAAATGGCCATAGCAAGACCAACAGCATAAGAAAAAAAGATCATAGATGCACTCAGAGGCGTATCTCAATGCTAAATTCTTCTATCCAATCTAAAAAGGTAAGATATACACATGCCAACATTATGGAATGCATGAAGATGTCATAATATCTGAAAAGGCATAAATAATATTATTCTATCAAATTGCTAGCAAGTCTATTGCATATCATATTACGCAAGGAGTGTGATCTTATTATGCATTTCAAACGATATAAAAGTGCAACATTTTAATACAAAAAAGAGAAATTTATCAAAATATTCCCCTCACTCTTTGTAGGGGGTATTTAGTCCCAGAGTCAATAAGGTGTCAATTTAGTCCTACTCTTTTAATATAGGTTGAAATAATCTTCACCGAGGACTATTTCAGCCTCAATTTAAAGAGTCTGGAAAATAATTTGATACATTTACAGACTCTAGGACTAAAATGGCCCCATGTAAACAGTCAGGGGACTATTTGGCACTTAACTCATACAAAATATAAGGCAATCAATAATGGAATTGCTTGTTCGGATAACAAACAAAACCCGCAATGTCATATTTGCAGGGTGCTATATTATTTTTCACACAACATATGCACAAGACAAGAAGGCCTTCTTATACTTTTGTTCAATCATCACTTCTATGAATTAGAAACATTTTAAGGGTTAGGCCATGTCCAAAAGATAAAAAGATGACTCACACTCAGGCATCAAATTCTAAAAGTAGGAGAATAAATATTGATAATTTTTGCGTAGGGAAGCAATTCAAAATTACAACAACAAATCCAGGACAAAATTTTAGAGCCTCAAATTGTACTTTATCAATTAAAATGGGTAATTGCACAATGTAACAGCTGATTAATTCATTAGAGAATACAATGATGATAAATTAGATCTTTCAGTGCCAAAAAGTAGCAGTACTGAGTGCCTAAGTGCCTCTGGTTGCTACATGATAAGATAAAAATATAATCATAGTGAAGGGTATGATTGACCAGAATTAATACACAATAGAAGCATAAAATTTGGTACTCGGATAGAACCTCGAAAGCAGCTGATATCTGTAGCAACAATTAAAACATGGTCCTCAACACAGGCCAGGCCAAAATTTAACTAAAAGGAACTAGAGATGCAAAGAAATTTGTGCAGTCTAAGCATTATTTCAATTCAACAAAACCCTGCAGTTGCTCACTAGAACTTCTCAATTTTCTGTCAGGTAATAATTCAAACAACTCACTGAGTTATTCAACATCAACTACAGACCTCGCCAATATTTTTTACTGAAAGAAAAAGGAAATAACAGTTTAATGCAAAATATCATCTAAGGATTTAGCAGATTAAAGACTAGAGTTATAAATCCTATACTTCAAAAAATTTAAGCTACTTTGTACTCTTCTCTTCAATATAATTAGCAATCCACCATAAAATATGTATACATATATATTAGCACTAAAAAACAAAAGGAAGCAAGAAAACAAAGAGCCAACAGTTTAAGAAAAAACCGATGCGCCCTTTTTCAATCCCTAAACATGTTCCAATTCGCTTTCCCTAATTCGGAAACATGCAAAGAATCAAAGAAAAACAAATGAAGAAGAAGAAGAAGAACAAAAGGTCAATAAACAATTCCAAAAGCGATAAAATTGGTGCTTGAATCCCCAGATATATATAATAACAATAACAAAAACAAAGATCTGTGGACTGGGAAACCAAAGGAGAAAAAAAATGGAAAAAAGAAAAAGGCAATAGAGACATGAACAGGAGCTCACTTGTAACTCCGCAATGACGGCAAGGTCCATGTTTCCCCATGCCTCTTGTCTCTTCCTCCCACAAATTAATTCCGGTAGAAATTAAAAAACTACACAGATGAAAGAGCAGTTTTTTTTTCTTTTTTTAAATCAAAATTCCGAGAAAATTCAAAGCAGCAATATGTATATATTTTTAGAAAATATTTTCAGAGCCCTTTTAGACAAAAAAAATCACTGAGAAATTAAGAGCTCTTATCCTCTATTGCTGTAAAAAAGAGTTTCATGTAATCAAATCCCAACGACCAAGCACAAGCCATGGGTCTTCTCTATCCAGAGAAAAAAGAGGAAAGGACGAGAAGAGGAGTGAAAATAGGAGAAAAAAGAGGAAGGAGAAGAAGAAGAACAAGGAATGGAGAAAGGGGGAAAAATTACAGATTTAGATGAGTTTTTGAGATGGGAATCTGTACAATCCAATGAAGAAGAAGACCATTGGGAGAATCAAATTAATTGTGGGGGAAAAGGAGAGGAGGTGAACAGGTGAGGGGAGGCCATTTTTTTTTTCTTTTCTTTCTTTTATATTTGGTCGCTAGTCCCCTACTTGTTCGGTCTTGTTCACCATTTGTATATATACGCAAGCCCAGTTTTCCTCTGATTTTTTTTTTTAAAATAGTTTAGTTGTAGATTTTTTTGTTCAATGGGACACCTCAATTAATTTGGTTAATCAGAAATATTTATAATTATTATGTGTGAATATGTCATTAATTTGTGACTCTAATATATAGTAAAAATATGCTTTGGGTTCATCCGTCCTGCCCACTTGGTGTTGTGGGAAAAGTTAAGGGGGGTGAAAGAATATTACAAATATATCCTATTGTCCAAAAAGTGTCTTCCCCCTATATGTCTTTCAAAATTGAGCCATGGTGCAAGAATTGGGGGTTAAACTATAATTTTCAATTCATGTGATATTTATACTTGATGTGTGCTAGAAAATTTGCATCTGAAGAATAATGAATTATCGTCTTAGAGTTGCACGATGATTTAACATGCGCTTGTAAAAGTGACAAATAAAAACATCATTTGTATTTATGTGGAAACCCCATAAATTGGAAGAACCATGGAGTTTTGTCCAGTTGAAATAATTCACTATGAGTTGGAGATTACACGTACAGGCTCATGTCCCATCGGAGGGAAAGGACTACATAGTTTCTCGAGTTAAAATGGTTGTGAACAGAAGAGCTCGTTGCCCCATGGTATGGATTGACCGCGGCGGGGAGTAGTTGTTGAAGATTCGGCGCACCATATTCGAGGTTGGCAAGTCGTTCGAGATGATGCACTGTTATGTAAGATGCTTTGTGACTCTATAGTGCCATCAGTTGTTACCTCTCACTTAGGTACACAAGTCTTGACTTTGTCCACAACGAGTAGAGGGTAGCGGACCATGGTTGATGGTGGCCAAGAAGTGGTGGTTGACTTTGATTGATGGGTGCAAAAGTGGGAGGTATTCGTCGAATCTTCAATACAAAAAATATTGAACTCCAGCATCTTTTCCAAACTTCAGTCCTCTTCAACCTCAAGTCTAAGTCACCACTGAAGAGGGACATAGAGTTTTATTCATAAATTTGAGGCTAATCTACAAATAAGGGGGGAATTTGAACCAATATAGAGTTCTTTTTCTTATAAACCTTTAGCACTATGCTCAACCGGTTTCAATTACATCTGAATATTGATCTTTATGTGAACCATGCCGGAGAGATTTTCAAAACAAGACAACGTCCAGTGAAAATTTGTGTGTCTTAATGATGTCAGAATTGAGTGATCTTGCGAATGTTAGATTCATTAAAATACTTAGTTTGACTATTTGCTTTAACGATTTCGAATTTGTTTACTGTTCCAATTATGTACTGAAAGCTTTCAAAAGTGCTTTAACGGCTTGATCTGGGCTTGATATCGCTTAGATTGAACTAATTTTTGTATCATTGGGCTCGTCTCATTGAGCCGATCAGTTTGACTAAAGTTTGCTAAAATTAGAGTACTTAATGATTTTCAATCGAATTTTGAACATTTCTTACTCAAAAACTTATCTCAAAATTTATGTTTTTTCTTGAGATTTGTGTCGGATGATGAAAATTTGTTGATGGCATATCAAATACTTTTATGAATTAAGAATTTTTTTGGTTAGTAGTTTTTCTTAACTAATAAAGATTGTGATTTTTTTTAATTAAATATGATATACAAGGGTTTTGAAGTAGTAGACTCATTCCAATCAAAAAATAAATAAACAACTTTTAACTTTCAATTTAGCTATAAGAAGTTTTAGAACTTCTTAACTGAGGCATTATTTTCTTATCTTTTATCTCGAAAGGCGTGCTATTTATTTTGAAATTTACATGAAAGTATTAGGAATTGGTAATAATCTACAAAAATACATATAATAAAGTAGTTTTGGCTTAGCTACTAATTAATTAGCCATAAAATAACATATACTAACTTTGGTGTTCCAATTACAAGCGTAATGAGAGGAACTATTATTTATGATTTCGTCTAGTATTATGATTTGTGTAAAGTTTCTCTAAGCTTGTAGGCCTCATAGGTTCGCTGGCATTGCATTAACTAGAGATTAGACCATACATTAAGTGTTAATTTTAAGTAGTATGAAGAGTTATTGATTATTAATTACAAGGTTGTCTTGTGCATCCCATGTGTATTGAACTTTTTATCATTGTAGAAGCTCCTTAATCATTGCAAAGCTAAAAACACTAAGGGATGAATTATACTAATTGACTCCATTAAGATATGATTTCTCTTTTTGTATATAGTGTAACACAACGCAATATATTGTCTTGTTAATTGAGAATATTAAGAATTTTTTATAGAACTCCTACAAAACTACTTATCATGAATTTCAATTCCGATAAAAAAACTCCTTGCATAAAAGAAAAAAAGATTTATCAAGAGCCAATTCTTAATGCTTTAAATCCTTAATTATACTTTAAATTATTGTGTTTGAACTCCTTCAGTATAAGCTAAATAAGAAATTAAGTATTATCCTCCCGTTATCCTTCCAATTAACAATTTATAATAACAATTTAGAGTGATAAGAAAAATGATGAAGAATCTCTATGATTGATTAGATCATCACATTTTTATTACATACACATACTTTCTCTTATTCATTTATATTTTATTTATGACGTACTGTCCAAGAGTTTTGTGATGTTTTTGCTCAAATTCTTTTGATGCCTGGTGTTGTTCTACAATCAATGGCTTTGAAGCTTATGATTAAGATGTAATGATTTCAAGTTGTGGAGAACTCAAATTTTTTGGTAATCCACAAATGTTTTATAGAAGAATTCATGGAAGGATGGTTTGTGTTTCTATTAGAGCATCTTATCTTAATTAATAAAATAAAAAAAAAGACTTCTTATTATTGTGAAGTTTTATAACATATTCATATAAAAGATGAAAAAAATATTTAAGATGATTATGTAGATCATATTTTCACTGCACTATTTAAGTATGAAGTTGTATCATAACTAAATTTGATATGAGGAGAAAAATACTTTAGTGGTGTAAAGTTTTTATTGCAATTAGTACCAATAAATTCAGCATTGTGTGCAATTGATTTGTTATGGACATTTTTCATAAGCATTTTGATGCATAATGCTAAGCCCATTGGTGCTTTAGGTAGATTTCCTAGATTGGATAGAAGTCATAGAATTCAATGTTTGCAATAATAAAATATTAATGAAGAGAATAGATATTTATTGAAACAATAAATTTAGAAAGAGATACCCATAATATTCTTATAAGAATTAGATGCCACCTTATCATTTTGTATATCATCCTTTTTGAATAGTTATATTATTATTAGCTATATGAGTAAATTTTTTAGCTTTGTTTGTAAGCTTTGATGTTTCTATGGCATACCTTTTGACTTGAGAGTTTCATGTGTGTTTGAACAAGTAAGATATACTCTCTTAATCAAAGATTTTTGGAGTAAAAATCCCTTGATTGGATTCTAGTCAGATTCAATCTACTTACAGTTTTTTGGTGTTATAATATTTCAAGACCAACAAGCACGTCAACTAAGATTATAGACAAATTCAGTTGGAGGTATTTTATTTTGTCGAATGATAATCATTCTAGACCAATAATTATTTGGCTAATTCTTTTCTTAAGCACAATATACTAGAAATAACTGAGCGAATCATTTTTTTTCTTATTTCAAAACTGTAATTTCTATATTTTTAGAAGATTTGATTCTCTTTAGTCTCTCATGGATGGAGTTTTAATTTAATTCAAATAACATAAACCATATTATCTTCTCTAGTGCATTTTTCATTTATGTTCATATTGTATTTTAAAACATTATTGTCAATCCTACTTGCTTCAGCTCAAAGAATTTTGAGAACCTTGATGCAAAAAAAATAGCACAATACATAGTTTAAGATTGATAGCCATGAAGTCTGAAAATAAGAGATATAATAGTTCTGAATTTTGAAGAATTATGATTTTTTTAGCATCATATCTTAAAAAGGTGTAAATAACTCAACTTTTTTTGCTATAAGAAAATTCTAAAATATATCATTTATGAGTTGACATGCATATATTGAATAACCAAGCAAAGTGCATCATTATTTTACAACATTTTCTTGTGCTAAGTGTGCTCTCTTACACCATTCAAAGTGATGAGATGTCTACTTTGGTGGTGCAAAAAATTATATGCACTAAAAATATCAATTATTTCATCTTTATGGGCACTATACATATTTTAAAGATCTCTCATAGATACTAATTTGACCCAAAATTATATGAGCTCACTTGAACATGACCTGACTCATTTAACATTATGTAATGTCTATCCTGATCAAATTTGAGTTAGCGAGTTAATCTAAATCCGACTCAAATAATTAAACATATTTAAACTATTGACCCTACTGAATAATTTATGAGCTTAATCTAAGCATTAATTTTTGGATTTGGAAATCTCAAATCAAATTTAGATACTTCTTTTTCAGTTAGAGGAAGAACTGAAAAAAAGGAAAAATAGAAATAAAATGATTACTTCTTGTTAGTGTGCTGTGCGGGGTAAGTGGAAATCAAAGTGGGCTATATGCAAATTTTCTAATTATATATATAATAATAATAATAATAAATGATATCACTTTGATTGTATTTTCAAAGCAATTGTTTGATGATTACATATGGACGAACCAAAACTGAACGAATCCATAAGGAGAAAATATTGCATCAGGACTTCACAAGTAAAGTTAGGTGCAGAGTCCAGTGAAAATATTGTGTGTTATTCAAGTATTGTTGTGTGTTATTCGAGTGTTATTGATGTGTTATTGTATTATTATAACACCGGGAATATTCCTAGAATACAATAACACGTAAATAACATACAATAACACCTGAATAACACGGAATAACAGGGTGGAGAATATTTTCCTGTGTTACCGGGCTGATTTTTTTTCTATCAATTCTATATGATATGATTTTATTGGACTTCACACGTAATTATAAGTGCAATGTCCTCATGCAATATTTTTTCATCTAAAAAAAATAGAGGACAGAATCCATTACCAGTTGTCCGGCCGTTCGTG